CATTAAATATTCTCTTTTTATTATATAATATATATATTACATTCTATTATAATATATATATATATATATATATATAATATAATGTACATATATAACTCCGAGCAAATATTATCGCGACTCTGATTACAGACTATACTATTTTCTCTTTCACTATCATAAACTCACAGATTCACCATATGCGTAGTGCTGCCAAACTGGTTTTGTATCAATTTTCTCGGTCGCGTTGCGCGTCCAGGAATTTTATACTTTCGCTCAAATTTCTGCGACCCTGTATGAAATTGCGAATCACACTTTGAAAAGCCCTGATATATATATATAATATTATATATGTATATACATATACATATATTACAGTACACAAAATAAATGAACACAAAAATGAATAACTAATTTTGGAAATTATGTGTATTTTACAAATTACACCGTATGTCTCGAATTAACACAAAAAAACAAGTGTATAATCGTTCTTATAAATTTCATGAGTCATTTTATTCCGATGTTTGATTGAATGCATATTACAGACATTAACAACGGAATAAAAAAGTGCTAATTTTTTAGATTATTTGATTTGAATGATTAGAGAGTAATTTGTATTTTTTAATTACACATGAGTACTCGTTATTGCACTTATCCTTGTATCTATTATAACATTAAAATAATAATCATAATTATACCACCGAATTAGAATTATTCGCGTACTTACAACTATCAGTTCGCGATATTAAATATTTAGACTCACTATAAATTGGCTAATTAATTTATGATCACGATTATAGCGTTAGTTTATAATTCTTCTCCCACCGTTGTACGTTAAATAACGCTTCATAGTTTTATCAGTGCAAAGAAGAGGAGGCAATTCTTTTTTTTTTATCATGAACACTATAAAATTGTTTGTAATTATTGAATATCTTTTAACGTGAATTTGTACATTTATTTAAAAAAAGGAAAACAGAAAATCATTAATAATTGTTCAAACTAATTGTTGAAACAAATGATTTTTAATTAATAATTTCCAACTAATGATTGAATATTAGGAATTACTTTAATTTTATAAATCTACAAGTTTTAAATTTCCTGTATCGTGCGATAAGAAAGAAAAAAGAAATATGTATAAAATTTAACAGTAAAACGATGAAGTATACATTGTGAATCACATAAAATAGTTTTTAATCAAATAATAATATTCCTCTTTTACTTAATTTCTTTAACATCGTACTTTATATGAATCATAATAAAGATATCTCTGAGTAAAAGAATAATAAGAAATATTTATTATGCTTAATAACAATAAAATTAAGTCGTTGAATTATCTAAATTATTTCAAATTATCTTTTAATAATAATTTTCTTTGCATTAAAGTGTCTCATTTTGTTTAAGAGATCTCGCGTGTTGTGGTACTAATGTTGCAATAGTAATAAAACCTGTATGACCGGGCAATGAATGAGGATGAGTTACGGTTAACAACTTTTCTGGTTCTTTTTTGTCTTTTACATTCGGTTGTTTATCTTGTTCATCATCACGCTATAAAATAAAGAATAACAAAACAAAGTTTATTATTAAATTCAATATTAATCCCTTACATTGTAACAAATATAAAAAGCACAAAATATAGTACCAACTTTGGTATGCAGCTATACACTTTAAATCATAGCACAAGAGGTTAATTTAATGCAACGTTATTAAATAATTTCAATTTATACCTTATATTTTAAGCACTCCAAATTTAAAACAGGTAAATTCTTGTATTGTACTGTCAATTCTTTTTGCAAACATTCATAGGTTTTTATTTCAATAAAACCCTCTAATGTAAGTTCTGCGCAAGTTCTTTGAACTTGTTCGATGCATGGGGAAAACGAACACAACTTTCCTCCTATTGAATGAAACATAAAATTTAAAACTCTGTATGATTTATCATAAAGTTACATGAATTTTAATTTTACCTGACTTCTTGAAGGCATTTAACGCATGTTTTATAACTAACCACGGATGTGGTAAATCTAAGAATATCATATCCACTTTGTTTTCCATTTTTTCACCAAACCCTTGAGCGCAAACATCTCTACATTCAACAGTAACGAAATCATCAAGACCGTGTCTCTTAAATTCTTCGGTAGCAATGTGTACACGTTGTTCATGAAAGTCAAATGTATAAAGATGACCGGTTGGACGAATAGCACGAATCAGTGCATGTGAAAGTGAACCACTTCCAGTACCTACAGTATATACAATTAAATTTAATCAACACGATAAATTTTATATAACATAAATTAACTGCGTTCATAAATTTTGCATACATTAATAATAATTTTGTTTCATAATCAAATTTAGGTAAATACTACAATAATTTGCTACAAAGTCTTGATTTATTAAGAATCAATGAGAAAAATATTAGATACACAAAATAATATTCAAATATAAGTTCAAGAAATGTACCCAAGTGTAGGCTTTTGGAAACGTTTTGTTTAAGCCTGCAGATACTTTAGCTTGATGTTTTAATAACAGATTACAGAAATAGATGTATTCTAGGATTAGAAAAGTTCAGCTGCTTTCTCAACCTGTCTCAATGATTGTTAGGCCCGGTGAAAGTTCCATTAAGTATGTAATTAAACTTATGTCTGGCGTGTAAATAATTTGTGTTCTATGAGGAACGGTTAGAGTCCAAAGTTCTGGTGTTGGTTGTAAGACGTGACCCCATCCTCTGGACAATTTAACTTTGCTACCATACTTTTGGCCAACGAGAGAGGCTACTTTGAGTGCACCGTAAATCGTTTGAAATACATTTTCCACCATGACACCTTTCTTGTTCAATGTTTTCGGTGTTACTTCCAACGAATGCATATTAGTATGTCCTAAATATAAAATAATAACATCTCCTTCTTCTATTATTTCTTTCACATTTCTAAAACTCATGGTTAGACGTGAGAAAAAATAACCTCTTTTACGAAACTCACTTCCACGCACAGTGATTTGTATCGATTTGTTAAGAAGAGTTACCAATTTAATAAAAAAAAAACGAAAAAATTATTATATACGCACAGAAACACACACACACAATGTATAATATAATTAATTATATTTATTGATTACTTTTCTTCAAATATTTATAAAAAATAAAACAGTCATCTGTCAATAATTATCTACGCAGCATCAAAATATAAAAAAGTACATAGAAGCACACAAGTCCCCTTTTTTATCTACCCAGATTCATTTTAGTTACTACCGGGACCACCAGAGGACGATAGTAGATACTTAACGCGATGACGGTACAATACTATCAAAGAATACTATATTACATTCTATATAGAATATACTATATTATATTCTTTGATAGTATATATAGTATACTTATATTGTAAGAAAATTTAAAATAATTCTATTTAATTTTTAGTGTTAAATACGCGTGTGTGCCATCAGAAATGCGTTTTTATACATATATATTTTAAAAAGTAGAAGAAAATGAAAACTAGTAGATGATAAATCCAACGATGATCACCTGTAACAAAAAGAAAACTATATTAATCATACAATCAAGTGATACAATAGCCTAACATACAAATCGCCCAATTCGCAGATGCACTTTTCAATTGAATTCTCTATTTATTTTGATCAAATCTCTATTTACCGGTGTATTAAAATTAAATTTAAACGCGTTATTTTACATTTACAAAAAATATATATATAAAAAAAGGAAAAATACAAATATTAAATTGCTAAACAAAATAATATCTATTAATTATTATGAAATACTTTTAAGCTACATTATATAGAAAAGAAAAATTGCAAATATAATAAAAAACGATCAAAATGAAAAATTTTAAAGACGAAACAAGAAAAAAGAAATTATTGTAATATTTACCGAACATTATTTAGGCTTTAAAATTTAATATTACAAAAATTTTAATATTTTTGACTCTAACTAACACATATGCATCTTTTGGACGATAATAGACACGAACTTGGTGTTCCAAGGAGATGGAATAGTCCATCATCTCCAATTACAACTACAAATTAATGACGAGCAAAAAAAATAATATAATAAAATATGACTAGAGAGCTATTCTCGAAAAGTTCGAACTTGCTGTTGAACCTTTGAAAATAACTCAATGGTCTGTGTAGTTGCCCACTTGATACCACAAATTTGTGGGGGCCTCTTYGGCATTAGCCTCTTCTTTCTTCATGCCCTAAACGCTGCTGTGAGGCTTTTTTTAACATTTACTCRAATACCTCAACAGATATTGGATTTAATCGATGAACCTATTATTAACACTTTGCATTTAAAAAATTAAATAATATCAAACACAAGCAGAAACTTGTAATACATCTTATGGTCTTTCTTTTTTACTTGACCACTTTTATCTTTATTCTACTTTGTATTTACTATACATATATAAAAAATGAAGTATTTTCAGTAGGAATTACTAAAGAGCAAAGTGCTAATATACTTAATATTAAGTAAGTATCCAACGTATTCAGCTATTTTCACTTTTTCGAAAAAAAATTAATTTTTAAGAAAACGCAAAGACTTTTGAATCGTTCGATACTTATTTATATCTCGCGGTACAGAGTATCAGCAATATATGGAAAAAATACAAGAAATATTTAAATGATAAATGAATTTAAAAGTTGCTGAAACTTTGTATAATATCCGGAGAAGAAATTTTCCACTCCTGAGTGRAAATTACAATCGCGCGACTTCTCCGGTCTCTACCTACTTACAAATTAAATAAACATTCACACCTAAGTATGCTACCTGCCTTTATATTGGCACTGTTTAAAAAGAACAAACGTACATACATACCCACCCGCTCACTCCACGATTCTCACGCATACCACCAGGGTGTATGTATTCTTTGATAGTATTGTACCGTCATCGCGTTAAGTACCTACTATCGTCCACTGGTGGTCCCGGTAGTAACAAAAATGATGCTGGGTAGATAAAAAAGGGGACTTGTGAGTTTCTATATACTTCACCACAAAAAAGTTGGCATAGAACCGCAACAGTAGAAAAATTTAAAAAATGATAATATTTCCCTATTGTTTATACATTATGAACGATTAACTTATTTCTTTTCACTACCTAATAGGTTGTTACTTTGGAAATCAACTTTAAATATATCTTCTGCAGTATACCAACTTTACTTTCATTTTTTTCCAAGTGTGCTTACGTCTTGAATTTGTGTTTGCGCATGTGTATAACATATCTTCCACTCATTGCGTCGCCATTTCATAATTATTTAAAGTTAAATAATTACTTTCAACTAATTAACGATAAATAAAAAATATTTGATAAAATATAGTTGAGCAAATAGTGTGTAATTAGGAGCATCCATTGATTTTTTTCTGCTGTCAAGGAATCCTTACCAGCGTTTTTATGGTCTTGTGAGCTTCTATGTACTTCTGTATTCTTTGGCAGCATTTAAAAACTCCCTTACCGACAAACGTATATGCAACCCCGTGTAATATAGCGCGCTCTGTATTAGACGTACAAAAACTTAAAAATATTTCAACAAGAATAACTCTGTTTTCTTGCTTAGTGTAATTATTAAAAATTTATATTTTCTAAAAAGCCGATATGTATTGATATCTATAAAGTTTAACAATTATTTATATAGATTAAAAATTAAATAATTAAATAATATTTTAATGTCAAATATATCTGTAATATATTTAATTTATAAAGATGAGTTTAGAAAAATAAAATGGCTACTAGTTTTTGAATACGCACATCGGTAATTTCAATGCATGGTATTTGAAATATGTTTACTTAACATAGGAATTCCGACTTTCAGGTCACCTGTATAGAAGAAGAGTATAGTCCAAATCGGTTACATTTACCTATATAAGGTGAACGGTCCAAAGTCGTCGACTTGTATATAAAAAAAAAAAAAAAAAAAAAAAAAAAAAAGAAAAAAGTTTAAGCTTCACTTTCACGAATATGGTATGTAAGAAAATACTTACTCATACACTTTTATATACCTACTCATCAGTTTCTTACTTNAATTTCAATGCATGGTATTTGAAATATGTTTACTTAACATAGGAATTCCGACTTTCAGGTCACCTGTATAGAAGAAGAGTATAGTCCAAATCGGTAATAATGAAACATTTGAATTGTATAGCAAAAATGATTGTTAGCGAATTATGAATACAAAAAAAAAAAAAAAAAAAAAAAAAAGAAAGAAAGAAAAAAGTTTAAGCTTCACTTTCACGAATATGGTATGTAAGAAAATACTTACTCATACACTTTTATATACCTACTCATCAGTTTCTTACTTGGAACCGTTGATTTCTTATTTCTTGTCTTCCATTACTTATAAGTAAATTTGTTTCGTATTTCATTATCTTCAAGATAAGAATGCAATTTAACTAAAACGACGAGCGCAGACAATTTTATTTCGAAAGAGTCATCAGTTTTGGATTTTTTATTGTATCATTAATGCGTCCTCAATTTCAATTGGAATGCATGAAACTTAAGAAGATGACGGAACTTATATCGAATTACAAAATTTCATCCTTATTGAAATAACAAAGTATTAAATAAAAAATTATGAACAAAAAAAATATGTTTAATTAGATTTAACATGAAGGAAATATAGACAGTTACTGTAATTTATTATTATATATTATAGCAGGAAGTCCTGGTTGACGTTGAAAAAACTTAACCAAAATGGAAAACTAAAACTAAAACGTGTTGGCGCATACATGATAAGAATCTTTTCTTACTATTAGTTGGAGTGTGAAAATTGTGGAAGAAGCGTAGTTTTAAACCGATTATCAGCGGATATTGCGAAAATATTGTGTTCCTGTTAAAACAATATGCCTATATACCTAATTTAGTAGTAGGAGCATGAAAAGATGTTGTTTTTGCTTGACTTTATTAATTATAAGATAGAGGCATAGTTTCCTACAGCGTCCCACTTTGCAACACTTTCACTCTTCAACAGTTACGTTACATCCAGGCAGCAGCAGCAGCAGCAGCACCACCACCATAACCACCACCACCATCACTATCACCACCGGTGAGGAGCTCCCGGTGCTCAAGGAACACACAACTATCCTCTCGATAACCACTTATTTGCAGAACTTAAACAGAGAGAATCGTATCGTGTCTGACACGCGATGCCACATCGATTTCTACTTCGAGCTATTCAACGAATAGAAATTATGCAATATAACTTTTATATGGTGTCTCTTGATATCAATAATTTTTTTTTTTTTGATTTATGACTGACACGTGAAAGATTAAATTCAATCATTTATCTTTTTCAAATACAATAACAAGAAATTCCTTTCATCTTTACAAATTTTTATGAACACACCACAAACGATACTAATTATTAACGGTGACGTTTAAATCTCTTGTTCAAGAAACATTAATCGTTAGTTACAAACAGGAAACGATTAGTATCTTTACATAATACATACTGTCATTTAGATAAATCTACTCGTCGATGATGGGTCAGCTCGTCTAATGTAAATGAAAAAACCTCGAAAAATCGGAAGATTCTCTTTCCATCATATTCGAAACTCTTGGGTAGTTATTTGTACCTCTTACGGCAACGTAAGTGAAAGTTGCCAAGTGGGACACGCGTCTTGAATCTTGACGGCACTTGAACGTTCGCCAAATCCTTCTCGCTTAGTTTCTCTGCCGCCTGCGCGAACGTTGATCTTTTGACAAAATTAATAAATCTACGTATAATACAATTTGCTAAATCACAAACCTCGAACGATGCCAATCTCTTTTTATTTATCTTTCTCACTCATTCACTCTATTTCTAAATTTATTCTTTATAAGAGATGACGTTATTAGATGAAACGATTTCGTAATGCAATTATTCATTTTTCCAAAGAAAATTATCCTGCATCTATCCCTTCTCTGTTATTCTCTCATTAAAAGTAGGTATGCGCTAATAAACGAGGTACCATATATATCCCCGTACGTGCAAGTACGCAAGAACGCGTGAGAAACGGAGTGAAGGATCATCGATGATTCTCTCTCTGTTGAGATGGCGATTTCGTATACGACTTACGCAATGAACGAGAAGTTTCCAGTGCAGAAGCTTTTGCAACCGAAGTAAATATCTACTAGGTCATCCCATTTAACTGGTTTACTAGATCTCCACCAAGATTTCATAAGAAACGAAGCAACACACGAGGAGCCCGTTAAAGATAGAA